CTGGTTATAGTTAGATTAATTCATTATTAAAATAATTTATTTTAATTTTTTTATAAATAAGTCTAGCATCTAAAAAAATATATAATTATATATATTTTTTAAATTACTTTATTGATTATTTAAACTTGGGACATAGGCTTGGATAATTTTGGAAAATCTTGGATATTGAATATTGAATATAATATAGACATATCTTATATACAACACTACTTATAGGTACCCATACTTCTATAAAAAATTTTTCAAAAAACATATCCTGATTTTCTTCAAATTATCATTTTACTATTATTCTGGAAAATACTCATTTTTCAAAACAAAACATATACAAATTTCTAGTTATTCCCATAGAACCATAATAAATTCTAAGAAAAAATCAAATCCAAGTAAGATTTTGCTTCTAAATATAATGAAATACAAAAGATTTGAAGCTGAATCTTACCCAAATTTGATTTTTACTCAGAATTTATTATGGTTCTATGGGCCAGGAATTTGTATATGTTTTTTTCGAAAAATAAGCATTTTCTGAAATGATAATTGTTAATTAATTTTAAACAACAGATTGAAGTGAAATTAAAGAAATTTAAATCAAAATTTGTATTTAAAACTTTAAAGTAAATATTAATAAATATTATTAAAAATATAGAATTATGTCTTTATTTATTATTATTATTTTTTTCTAAGCAGTTATACTACAACTTTATTATTTGACATAGACAGAACAAATTTTTACATTTAAATATCTAATTATAGCTAAGCTATTTTATACTAAAGTGTGATTCACCCAGTTTTCAATTGGATCTATATGCAACCTACCAGAGCAAAAGCAGCCTCTTTGTTTTTTCTAGAACTACCTCAGATTTCAGATCTACAATTCATTGGCCGGGATCTACCATCTTGTTATGACTACCTATCTCTTCTTATAAATTTCTCTTGTCTATATCTAAGCAAAATAGTTTATCTTTTACTTTCTATAAGGGAAAAATAAATGCCAAATTTATATAAACAATGCTAATCTTTTGGAGAGGGTAAGCTAGAATGCCTACATTATTCAAAAATTTTGATAAGATCAACAAATAGCAAAAGGAAGAGAGAAAACTTAAAACCACTTAAAAGAGTGTGAATTTTCTTTTACTAAGATCAACTTTTTATTAAAGCCTGCACAGTACTAAGTCTTTTTGGTAAATAATAAACTCTGGGCTTGTTGGCAAGTAGTATATAAGAACTACTTTCTAAACAACAAGTGCTGTGCTTGCAGTAAGTGATAAACTCTAAAACTATTAGCAGGTAGCATATAAGAACTACCTCTAAATAACAGCTACTATTTTATAGCCCTTTTTCTATAACTTATATTAAAACTCTTTGGGTTATATACTAGTGTATAGTATTTTTTTAGTAAATGGTTTTTTGAAAAATATGGTTCAAGTAATTGTCAGAAAGAGTTAAATTAGTATAATTATGCCTTTATTGATTTGAAGTCATTTTAAATTATAATATATAAATTATACTATTATTATTTAATCTTGTATATTTGATTCTAAGATATTGCTAACTTGCCCTCTTGGTAATTTAATCACCTCACAATTTACCAATTATGTTATAGGATCTTGTATAACAAAATAAAGAAATTTTTTAAAAAATTTTAAAAAAATCAAAAATTAACAATATTATAAAATTTTATTCCAAAAACTTGTTATAAGCTATTAAGTAAAAGTTTTTAGCACCTAATTTGTATATAAATTAGCTACAAGTTAATTTAATATAGCCAGTATTCTTTAAATATTTATTTATATAAAAAAATTCTATAAAAATAAAGAGTAATTAAATTTAACTAATTTTAACTAGGGGTTAAAATTAGTTAAATTCTTGATTTTATATTTAATAAACTTAAATTTTTCATAATATCATATACTATTATTCTATTGGAAAGACCTTTAAATTTGTATCTATAGTTATATTATATTGTATCTATATAAGTCTATTACTATATTCTAAAAATTTTTGCAACAAAAAAAAAAGACAAAGTCAATAACTTATTTGTATATTTCAACTTTAAAAAGTAAAAAGTCTATATAATACATACAAAAAGATCATATATTTTAAACTTTGTATTTACACCACTTCTTTAAATCATTATTTTAAGCTTTTTTAGCTTTTTTTGTGCAACAAATAAGATTTTGTTAACATATTAGTAGTTAAATACTTACAACTTCAACTGGTAAAATAAATATGAAATTTGGAGAATTCAGAAAAATTCAGTAAATATGTTGTAGGGCAAAACAAAAGCTTCAAGTTTATCTAATAATTTAATTTCTTGATAGAAAAGATAATCTTCCTAATTTTTGAAAAAAGTATTATAAAACATATAAAAAGTCTTTAATTAATTGTATAATGATCTGCAAAGTTACTTAGGATGGTCATATCTTGAGAATGATAGTGGAATGATAATTTGAAAAAAATCAGAATATATTTTTTGAAATTTTTTATAAGAATTGTATATTCGATAAAAATAATATATATAAAATTTAAATCCCAGGTAGGTTTTTTCTTTTCCAAAAAAACCACAGTGGATATATAATAAACAACTAACAGGTACTCATAATACTACCCTAGCTCTACACCATTTATATAAGGGCTTTATTTTTAAGCTCTTATTCTACTCTAGGGTCCAGAAATCAATATCCTAACTAGCTCTTATAGTACTATTTGCAAGTATTTATAGATAGCCTAGACCTATGCAAAGGTCTACTAAAAATAGACAATTTTAAAAAAATTTTTAACTAAAAAAATAATTTACAATTTTTTGATAAACTTTTTAAATATTAGTTTTAAAAATATAGTTTCTAATATAATATTGTAGTTTATACAAAAAATAGCAACTGTTATTATTATATTTTTAGAAATCTACTAATGAAAATTAAAACTTATCTTAAAAATAAAGATTTTTTATAAATAAAAACATATAAAAATTTAAAGAAAAATTTAATAGTAAAAATTTTTAAAGTAAAAGCTTTAAACTTTTATCAATCTAAAGATTTTTAGTAAAATTGAAAAATTTTTATAATAAAGCTTATAGAACAAAAAAAAATTTTATAATAAATTTTAATATAAAAACTTTAAACTTTTATTATGCTAAAGTTTTTTAATAATTTTAAAAAATTTTCTTAACAAATTTAATAAAACAAATCTAAAATTAAATATTTTACTTAGATAATATATAGCTAAAATCAATTAGAAAAATTTAAATTTTAAAAAAAGTTGCAGGCAAATTTGCCTGCAATGCAATTTAAAAGATAATGCATAAATTGATAATACGGGTAGAACAAGTATAAACAATGACTAAACGAGAAAATTTAACATATCAGCATGATAATATAGAATTATGTTTCTTTGATCACACATTTCGATTGCATTTTCTTATTACATCATTTAAACTCATGCATACATCGAATACATCGATTTTATATAGAAATCTCAAGGTGAAATTATAAGAATGGATTGTCTAATCTGATGCGTTTAAATATAACCATCTTCGTTCCTGATATTATCTGAAAATCAGTTTCTTTCCAAGTTTTAACGATGAATATAAAACAAAATTTTTGCGTGTTATTGGCTTAACTATATTTAATTAATCGATAATTGATCCTCTTGAATTGGGTTCGATCTTTAGATTAACAATCTTTAAACATGGATATACCTGATTAAAAGTCAAATTTGTTGAATAATTTAAAAATTATTCTATTAAATGCCGAATATTTATTTATTAATGAATTGATAGTTTTGAGTTTGACACTGAAATCCAAACTAAGTAACGAGTTGTACAACCCAACGCTTTATGCATGGAGTCACACATAGCAATTCAAAAATATTAAAATATTGCTGCTTAGAACTATTAAATACGAATATATATGGTCGAATGGATCGTTTTGATAGGATGAAAAAAATTGGTAAGGGAGAATTTAGCACTGTACATTCTGCGATCTGGTTTGATGGTATAAATAATGTAAGGGACGCGCAAATTATTTATAGTATCGTTACACTAAAGGTTTTGTCCGGTCATAGAATTTTCGATTTTTTTTTAAAATTGAGTTAAATAAAGTTCGTTTGTGCTTCGAAACCCGTTCAAACAATCCAAAACTTATGCATAACAGATAATATATACTGTATATGCTAGTTGGTTGCACATGAATAATTTTAGAGACTCTTTTTATTATAATTAAGATCTTAGAAAGACGAATGACAAAATTGAGTTTGAGATAGCACACTGTTTATAATAGACAAGCTGAAAGTGAATATATCAAACCAATTTTTTACAATGAAAATTCGATATTCTTTTTATAATTGACAATTTTAAAGAGACTTGACCACGTGTCAAGATCTAAGTAAAAGCCATGGTAATTAAAATATGAATAAACTTTAAACTTGTTCTTAACTTTTTTACATCCACATTTATCTTGAATTACCTGCGATTCTCGTACGTAATATTTTTGTTAATTATGTATATACTCAACCACCTGAATTTTGTTAAGATTTAAATTTGGATTTCGATATTGGATACGTACAATAAGCTTAGCATAGCGTCATAAAATATTGACTCGATAACGGATTATTAATTACCGGTATTTATGGTATCTAGTAACGTTACCCAAACTCAATGGTATCCTGAAACTTATATTGCTTGTTTTTTTGGTAAAATTCCAAGTACCCGTCATCGATAATTGTCCGAAAAGGTTTGGATTACATCATAATGGTTTCACACACACATGAACGTAATATGAACATATATGGGAATCGCTATCCTACAATAATAGTGACACTAAACACGTACTTTAACAAGTCCACTAGAGTTTAATAATAAAATTATTATATACAATATATATATATGTATTTATTAACTTTCATCCAATTTGTAATTATTATTCATACGTATAAAACAAAAATCATTGAATGTATATAATTATTATGTACCTATCATTACTTTTTTTAATCACATTTCTAGAAAGTCACGTATCGATATCATCGTCATGTTCTTCAATAATCCTTAATCGAGCAACCTCCCTACAAACATTACATTCAAAATTATACATACTCAAGTATGATTTCTTCTTAAACTCATCAGTAAATTCCATAGTTCGCCATTTATGATATTCTAAATATGCAGTTTCATTTTTAACTAAATATTTCAAGTAATGTGCAAGAGTCTCAATGTCCGGAAAGTCATTGATAAAAATAGCAGATTTAGGATGTGGTAAGTATGATCGAGTATTAGGAGCACCCCATATAACAGGCACGATACCTAAATCAAACGCATCCCAAAGTTTCTCAGTACTGTAGTCGTCTTCTTGAGAATTTTCAATTGATAAGTAAAATGGGTATTTAGAAATGACACAATTCTTTGCATCAAAGAGCCCTAATTTCAAGCATTCAGGATAAATTTTCCATTCGGTGTTCCGATGAATTTTACCGAAAGATGCAACAGGAATATGGTCTTGAAGATCTTTAACAAATGTTTGACGAAATTTTGTCCAGTGGGAAGCGACAAATGAGATAAATGGAGAATTCTGTGATAACTTTTTTACATTAAAAGGAGTTTTTATTCTCCATTTTTCAGCATCCGTTCTAATATAGCTTGTCGGTACATCAGAGCCTTCAGTAAATGTTGCGCGGATATCAAATAGATCGTTCTTATCATGACATTGTGGGCAATGAGTCGTAGGCTCTAAAGTATATTGTATAAATTTTTGTCCATTCCATGCTTTCTTTTTTGGTAAATTCGGTTGGTTGACGCAAAGAAGTGCATCAGCTTTTCTAAGCTCTTTGTATCTTAAATCTTTTAATGTTTTTACTTGCCAGATACATGGTATATCACAATTTGCTAATGTTTCATCATGTTTAAATTTGAGTTTTAAATAATCTTGATATGTATACCAATCTCCTGCAGTTATATATATTCTTACTTCACGATTTTTATTTAAAAAACTTGTTATGTAATGTCTTTGTTTCCATTCTGTGAGGTTGGTAGGTTTTTCCATTAATTTTGTCATGTAATCAATCTTAACTGATTCATAAGCAGGTGTTTTCACCCATCCTGGCGATAAGATGAAAATAAAGATAATGAGTATAAATATCGCAAAGAAAAAAGATATTGGTGGATTTTTCAGGCGCAGCATTTCTGTTTTATGAGAATACAGTATATATATATAAATTAGTATTTAAATTAGTATTTAAATTCAACGGAAAACGTCATTTTATGTGGTTTACAGTCGCTTTCCGCCATAGTCATATAGTAGTCATATAGTCCAATCAAGCCTTTTACATGCTTATTGAAGGAACTTAAGACTAGCAACATAAAAAGATTTTGTATATATATAACCTAGTAAGAAATTATTGAGACCATAGACGATTGGAGAAGTGATTGTAGTGGAAAGCGACTGTAGTATGATCTCAATGCAAACCAAATATAAACATCAAGAACATTTACGTACGTACGTAGCTTTAAATTATTTACTGAATATAAATTATAATTCACCAATCTTAAATAAAGGTTTTAATTTATTTAATATAGTGCTGTATATATATGTATAATTAAATTTTATAATACAAAAAAAATTTGTTATCGGCTATATACAATGAAAAGCAAAGCTTTATATAATGTTTTTTTTTTTTTTTAACTGTTACCATCACCTTTTCATAAAAAACGATAACGTATTTAACCAAATCTGTAATTCGTTAAAGTAACATAGATTTGTCATACTTAAATCGTTTAAATGAAATATATAAAAAAGAAAGTGAATGTCCAAATGTAGGTTGATTGTTGTAAAAAGTGCAAGAAAAATCTGTAGAACCTGAAGAATTTAAAGACATTTAAAGGCGCGATTTATCAAGCCGAAAAATGATGTACGAAGAAAAGTAAATATCTTCGGTACTGTATTTCACCACGTAAACCATTCGGGGTCTCTCGAACCCTCTTAACTCGATTTATATACCCAAGGATCTTGTAAAGAAGAGGGAGATTATATAAAATCTAAAAATAACATTGATGCGTAACATGTTTCATCATTCAGGAGATGAAAAAATGCTTTTACAACACTCCAGGTTTGTTAAAAAAAGAACGTAACTAAAAGGTTTATACAATCTACAGTATATGATTCAAAAGAATTTTAATGTTTTTACCAGTATCAGAAACAAGTCTTATTTATATTGATCATGCAACGATTAATATCATGAAATTTATTCTGTCGGAGCAAATGGATGTGCCGCGCGGCGGTACATTTCAGCCAGTCATTTGTTCTGACTATACATGCCGTAGAAATTATTTCGGCATAATTTTTACCTGAACTTTGACATGCGACAATGGCTAAATCTAAAATTCATGCCGTAACTTATGATCAATGCCGCAACTTACGACCAATGCCTAAAGTCATAAATGTTGGTGTAGTGCCGAAAGTAATAAAGTAATCAATACAATGCCAAAAGTAATAAAGTATAAAGTATAATTGATATATCATCGATTGATGTAGTGATTTTAAGTGATAAAAGCAAAAAAGTATATTTATTTAAATACTGAAATAATTCGATTTTATACGTAAGACAAATTGCGGCAATTCAAATTGCGTAATTAATTTAGATTATGGCATATGTTTTGGATTTCGGCATTTGTTTCGGATTGCGGCATAAATTATGACTTGTGGCTTTTTTTTTGCCGAAAAATCAGTGCATAAATACTTTCGGCGCAGCCGAAACTAATTTCTATGGCATGTATAATTCTGACCCATGATCCAATATCGGTAGATTAATTTATAATTTTATGTAATAAAAGTAAAATTATTATTAGTCTTTCATGTCAAATCGGGGTTTAGAGACAATCTAACCGTAATCGAGATTTTTATCGGATTGTATTTAGCATATGTTGAAATACTATAATTTGGTACAGCTCTATACGCAGTACATATGCTGGTTTTCTGCTACTAAAAAGGTTAAAATTATATCAACAGATAATGTATGTGCATACATTCTAAACTATTCTACATATAAATATCTAAATTTAACACAACAATCAAAATTTGATCAAAAAATTGACTCTAAGCCCCGATTTGATGTGAAAGAACCCATATGATACATGATCATGCAATAGATCCACAAAAACTTGGGATGTTAATCGGTTCTTTGGGATAGAATCCTAACTAGTCTGGTCCTTTCCTTCAAGGATCAGTAGGGATTCGATCCTTAAATCACATGAAAAACACAATACTTTATAAGACTTAGTGGATTGAATTATATATGAGTGTTGCCAAGCTAAAACCAGGAATTGTGAGTTTTCTAAAATTAATTTTACAGATCAAACCTGAAAAATATGATTTAACACACTATATAATTTATGTTGTGCTTACACTAGCCAAACTGCCAGGCTAATGCATCAAAAGAAAAGAGTATATGCTCTGAAAGTATGGACCAAAAGAAGGTGACCATGAGGCACCTAAAGTCTAAACAGACTGATTCTTCCAGGTTGCCAGCTGGAAGTAAGGGAGAGACCAATAAAAAATCTGAGTAAGAAAACAGTTTAAGTGTGGGTATTAGAGTTGTTGTGAACCAATTAAGGACAAGGAGTATATAATAGGCTACTAATTAGAAAGGTTGTGGCTTGAAATATGGATCAGGTTACAGCAATATCCTAAAGATGGCTTGAGATATGAAAGCAGTACGAATTAGGAAAAAGTTACTAAATATGCAAGTGAATACATATGTGGGACATGTACTGCTTTGTTGAATTTACTTTGGTGAATAGTTAAGTGTTTTAAGTTGGCTGATAAATGTAGTGGTATTGCAAAATCTACTACAGGTATAGTGAGTTACATTCACATTAAGTAGGGTTAGGCTAAATATATTAAGACTAGAAAGCTTAAATAGGTAATCCCGTTGATGAATTACAGATATAGCAGATAGTGTAGAACTCCTAGTATAGCACTAATGCTTTGAGCAGACTATTTAAATTAGGTATCAAAAGTGCACATGTGGTTTGATATACCTATTATAATATATAGTGTTTAATACTTGTTTAATAAAATCTTGCTGACAATTAGAATTAACTTTGCTAAAAAAAAAAACAATAATAATAAAAACAAACAAATAATTATTTGATTTTTAAAATAGAACTTAATTAGACATTACATGCTGTAATATACTTATACATTGCATTTTTAACAATTAACCAATTAAATTTGAAGATCAGATATAATATGGGCTTGGTGCTACAGAAAAGGGGGAAATCGACAAATTTTCAAATTTTTTTTTTTTACACAACTCAATTTAGAATAATGTTAGGATCATTTTTTACTTAAAACATGAAAGAAGTTATATTAATAAAATTTTGTAGTATAGCTCTTTAAAGTTTGTATTTTCTTATGATTTATTATAAAATTTATAACATAAAAATTGATCTTCCGAAGATCTATTGTTTTGTCGATTTCCCCTTTTCTGTAGCACCAAGCCCATATGTAAATTAATTTTGTATAACAAAAATAAATAAATTTTTTAAAATTTTGAAATAGCCCAAAATGCTATCTATAAAACTGTATATTGAGCTTTAACATAAAAAATTTCTTGCAAAATTTTGATATATAATATACTTTACTTTAACTACTAACTGCTAATTCTAATTCTAACTCTAATATAATCTAATATTCATTTTTTTGTATATATAAAATTGCTATTACACAGATTTTATAAATTATAATTTAAATATACATACAATAAATTAGCATATCATATAGTGTAATGTATATATTTTCCTTTAAAATATAGCTAAATACTTATTAAGTACTTATTATAAATATTTATTTACCTTACTGTAAATTTAATAATTATTATAAAAATGCTTATTTGGTATAAGATTGCATTAAACTTGCTTAATAAATATTTATAATAAGCACTTTTAAAATAATTAATAATTGCTTAATAAGTATTTAGATATATTTGTAGATGTATTTGTTTTTAATAAAAAATTTTTCTCATATAATTTTACTAAACTATAGCTCTCAAACCCAAATTTTAGTTTAAATTCTAACCCAAACTCTAAAGTAAACAAATTTTTTATATAAAGTAAAAAAATTATATAACTGAAAAATCAATCCTATACCCTATCAATTTCATTTTAAAAACAATTATTTTATAGATAGTTTATTTTAAAACAAATTTATTTCATAAACAAATTTATTTTATAAACAATTAAATACTACTTAATTGTCTATAAAATAAATTTATCTATAAAATAAACTGGGTTTAAAATAAACTATTTATAAAATAATTGGTTTTAAAATAAACTTGTCTATAAACTGATTATTTGTAAAATAAAGTGTTTGTAAAATTAACTTATACAAATTAATACAAATCTGAAAATTTTAGTAGGTTTTATTGTTACATATTTTGATATAATAATTCAAGATAGACAGATAAAAACAAAAGCCAGCAATTGTAAGAAAAGGCTTTAACTTAGAATTGATATATATAAATATATTGTAATATAGTGATTTTTTTTGTACAATATATTATAGCAATTATATATTCACATAACATGTTAAACTCTTTGTGCTATAGTTTATTTTTCTTTATAGTATATAAGTATAGTATAGATTTATTTTTTTTTTATTTATCTATTTATATATATCAGTTATATAATTTGTTATACTATATTATATGTAAATTTTATATATATAAAATTATAATAAAAAATATATAAAATTACTATGAACATCAGCGAAATATATTAACATAATTTTACATAAGTTATTATGGCCCGAAATATTGTGCAATAATTACGGTTTGGACATAATATTGCGCAAAAAGTTGCGAAATATTGTGCAATAAATAACATAAAATTACGAAATATATTATGCAAATTATGAAACTTATAGCGCAATATTACATAATGTTTTGCGCAATATTTCGAATTAGTTCGAAACAATTCGAATAGAGGTAAATGCATCAAAACAGAAAAATATTTATAAACTAAAA